TCCTTCACTCGGCCTTCCCGAAGGGCCAGCTCTCACATCCGTAGGTGACTACAGGGAAGACCATGGCTTTGACTAGGCAATGGATCTTTGTTGCCAGTCTGATGTCTCTACTCTTCACTATTTTATCGAGACTGGACATTGCTCTCCTCCCAAGAAGGAAGCGCCTTCTGATTTCCTGGCCACAGTCTGCATCTGCAGCAATCTTTGCACCTAGAAATACAAACCCTGTCACTGCCTCCACGGTTTCTCCTTCTATTTCCCAGTTGTCAATCATTCTTGTTGCCATAATCTTGGTTTTTTTGACGTTTAGCTGCAACCCGGCTTTTGCGCTTTCTTCTTTCACCTTGATTAGAAGGCTCCTCAGCTCCTCCTCGCTTTCGGCCATCAGAGTGGTGTCATCTGCATATCATAAGGTATACATTCATAAAAGAGGGAAAATAAATCAACCCATCCCACCCACCAAAAAGTCAATTGAAAGCCTAAAAACCATAGTGGAATTTCATGAGGCTTGGGGAGGAAAAAGTTTCTAAAAGTTCATAGAAAAGTCCATAAAGTGTGGATTACAGGGGCATTGCCATATGGGGCCACGGAAAGAGTCTTAGGTTCCCACATGGGGGAGAGATAGGGGATTATGGGATCATTCCAACCTGGTGTCCTTGGTAAAACTACGAATTCCTTGGTTTTGAACCATCTTTTGCAGAGTTCTGGGGGGGGGGTCACCTCCGATATAATGTGTGTCCCACAAACTAACACACACACACACACACACATATGTTAGGCTTGGGTGGTTACGTTCGTTAATTCCGTAATTCGTTATTAATTCGTATTTAAATTAGCTTATGATCCGATATTGAGCCATGCAGGAATAGTGTGAGGAGTAATTAAGAATCGAAACAATTTTTCCAATTTTCGTAATTATTCCGTAATTATTTTTGTAATATAATATAAATAATATAATATAAAATAATATAATATAATAATATAATATATATAATAATATAATATACAAAAATAATATAATAATATAAAATATAATATAATATACAATAAATATATAAATAATAATAATATAATTATAATAAAATTATAATATAATATAATATAATAATAATATAAAAATAATATAATATAATAATATAAAATTATAATATAATAATATAATATAATATATTATAATTATAATAATATATAATATATATAATAATTAATAATAATAATAAATACAATAATAGGCATTCCTATAGGCAACTCCATAGTATGGGATATTCAGCCTGTTGTGAATCAGAACCCTTCCATAATAATGGTAATAATAATAATATAAGATAATGTAATAATATAGCAATATAATATGATAGTAATAATAATAAATAAAATAAAATATAATGTATTAATATATGAAGAAATAATATAACATTAATACAATAACATAATATAATAGTAATAATAATATAGTTTTAACAATAATAAAAGAATAATAAATAAAATAACACAATATATAATAAAATAACGATATAATAATATAAGATGATGTATTGATATATTAATAAATAATATAATATTAATACAATAATATAATATAATAGTAATAATAATAATATAATAAAATAATGATAATAATAAAAATAATGTATTAATATATTAATATAATAACATAAGATAATATAATATATAATATAATAATATAATAATATAATATAATATACAATAGAATGCAAACATCAATTAACAGAGAATCCATTTAATGGAATGCTAACAGAGGAGACGACTGAACGAATGAACAACAACAACATAATATAATAATATAATAATATAAAATAATAATATAAAATAATATATAATAATATTAATATACAATAATATAATATAATATAATATAATAAAATATAATAAATAATATAATATAATAACAATATAATATAATAATAATATATAATATATAATATATAATAATATAATATAATAATATTTAAGATAATAATATATAAGATAATAATACAATATAAATATAATACATAATATATATAATAATATATAATATAATATAATATTAATATATAATATACAATAATAATATAATAATATACAATTATAATAATATAATATTACAATAATATATAATAAATAATAAAATATACTAAATATAATATAATAATATAAATATAATATAAATATATAATAATAATATTATAATAATATAATATAATATATAATAATATAATATAATATCGTTGTTGTTTGTTTTATCACACCAACAGTCAACAACAGAGGGAGAGGGAAGCTTCAGAAGTTCCCCCTGTCCCATTTGGAGGTTTTTTTAGCATATTGCGCAATCGCGTCCGCCATTAACGAATCAATTCGAAATTTACAAAATTCTGTAAATTTCGAATTCTTTTAAAGAAAAAATTCGAAATTCTTTAAAAAAACAAAACGCAATGGACCCCCTAAAAACTAAACGAGTTTAGAAACAAATTTTTCCGTTGTTACCCAAGCCTAATATATATATATACACTAGCTGTCCCCTGCCACGCATTGCTGTGGCTGAGTCTGTGTATGTGTTTTGTGTGTATATATATTTATAGATGTGTGTGCATATATTTGTGTATATATGTATGTTTGCGTAGATATATATGGGTGTATATATGTATGTGTGTGTATATGTATATTTGTGTATATGTGTAAATATGTTGTTTTGCACATGCATTGAAATGTAAATTTTATTTTTATTTTTTGGCTTTTTAAGTCTCTTCTGCTGTTTTTCAGTGTTTTTAGGAGTGATGGTCACTCGTTGGCCTGAGAGGTGTCTTGTGTCCAAATTTGGTGTCCATTTGTCCAGTGGTTTGTGAGTTCTGTTCATCCCACGAGCGAGCGTAACATTTTTATATATATAGATTAGTTTCTCAAACTCTGCAAAGTTTAGCAAGTTGGCCAACCATTTGTTGACAGATGGAATAATACTTCCTTTCCAGTGTTCGGTGTAAGACTGTTTGGGTATGCATATATACACACACACACACATATATATATACACACACACACACACACATACATACACAGAGAGAGCCTTGGGAAAGGGAACCCTCTTCCTTGACCTTGAGGGTCCCATTCCTGCCTTGCCTTCCTTCCTAGGCATCCCAGCTATCTATTTGCAAACAGGTGCCGGATGTGACCCATAGCAAATGGATATGAAAGTGTGAGTGTGTGTGTGTGTGTGTGTGGGGGGGGGGGGGTTGAAAGCAAACACCCCCACCTGTGCCCATGCCTTTCTTGCTTTGGAGAGGAGGGGGGAATATCCGGTGTCTCCCCCTCCTTTGGAAGCCCCAAAATAGCCTCCCTTTGCACACACACACACACACACACACACACACACACACACACACACACCCCAAAACAAGCCTTTGCTTTTCTGGAGCAGCAGAAGAAGACCTTTGCAACCCAAGAAGAAGGGGAATGGGCCACCACCTCTCTTTGGGGGCCCTTCTCTTCTGGGGGGCCGTCTGTACGTAAAGGGAGGGGCTTCGGGGGTGTTGTTGATGTGGGGGGAGTATTTTGCTAATTATTCTTCCTATTATAATTGCTTAGCATGGCTCTTTGCCAGGTGGGGCATTTTGCTCATTCTTATGATTGTGATTGGCTGTTGACATTGAGGCTGGCGAGAGAGCCCCCCCCCCCCCCGACTAATCATCATGACTGTTGTTATGTATGATTGCAAAATGTCATTGTTATTATTTACATCTAGACATCCCCTGTTGCATTGGCCCAGTCTGTGTATATGTGTTTTGTGTGTGTATATATGTATTTATGTCTGTATATATTTGTGTATTTATGTATGTTTGCGTAGATATATATGGGTGTATATATGTATGTGTGTGTGTGTATATGTGCGTATATAGTTGTGTGTTTATATGTCTTCTTGCATATTGCGTATATATGTGTGTGCATGTGTTTATGTATATGTATGTATATATGTATTTATATGAAGGAGCTGGGGGTGGTGTCGGCCAACAAGGAGCTCTGGCAGGGGCTGGTTAATGAAGTCACGAAGAGTCCGAAGCGACTGAACGAATGAACAACAACAACACGTGTATATGTATATGTGTGTATATATTTGCGTATTTGTGTGTTTATATGTGCATATGCACATTGTGTATATGTGTGTGCTTGTCTATATGCATATTTGTGTGTATACATGTGTGTATGTATGTGTATATGTATATGTGTGTGCATGTGTATATGTATGTGTGTATATATGTATATTTGTGTGTGCATGTGTAGGTGTGTGTGTATATAGGTGTGTGTATATATGTGTATATTTGTGTGTGCTTTTGCATATATATATATACGTATGTGTGTGTGTATGAATGTGTACTTGTGTGTGTGTGTGTATTTGGGGGTATATGTATATATGGTATATTTGGGGGGGGGGGTTAAGTCTGTTCCACTGGGGGTTTTGTGTGTGTGTGTGTGTTTAGGGGTGATGGACACTTGTTAGACTGTTAGGTGTATTGTGTCAAAATTTTGTGTCACTTTGACCAGTGGTTTCTGAGTTATGTTTCTCCAACAAACAAACTTTACATTTATACATACATACACACACACACACACACACACACACATATATACACACACAAACACACACAGATAGAGATTTAATTAATTACAAATGGAAAGAGGGAGTATTCTGCTAATTGTTATTGTTATTATTCTTCCTTGCAGTTGCATTGCCATTGAAGCAGAGCCTTTGGGTCATCATTGCTCCTGTTGTTATTTGTGATTGTTTAGCATGCTCATGATTGTTGCTTTTCTTATCCATCATATTTTGAAAGAGGGACCTTTTGGTTCATGCCTATTGGTAGTTGTCATTGCTTTGCACGGCTGTTTTGCAGGTTCGTCAATGATGGTGATCGTTATGTCTAATTCCTTGAGTTCCTCCAGCTCATTGAGCCCCAAAAGGTGAGCGCTAGATTGGACTCAATGGGGCCCTTCTCTCTCGCTTCCTGCAGTCTCGGTGGGAGCCAATGAGGAGCGGAGGCTGGTGGAGACCCTCTTTGCAAACTATGACCGGACGGTGCGGCCAGTGCTCAATGGAGGGGAGGCCCTGGAGGTGTCCATCAAGCTGACCCTCACCAACCTCATCTCCTTGGTAGGACATCCTTGTAGCCCATGACCAGATCCACACCGAAAGACCCCCACCCTCCCATCCACTTGAGCCCTCCCTCCAGGTGCTTTGGACTCCAACTCCCACAACGTGGAGATGCAGGTGACCTCTTGAGTGACTCAAGTGTCCAGTTCCAAGAGGACAAAGACATGGGCCAACTTTTGGGCTCCAGATCCCACAACGTGGGTATGCAGGTGACCCCTTGATTGATTCAAGTGTCCAGTTCCAAGAGGACAAAGCCATGGGCCAACTTTTGGGTTCCAGCTCCCACAACGTGGGTATGCAGATGATCCCTTGATTGACTCAAGTGTCCAGTTCCAAGAGGACAAAGGCATGGGCCAACTTGGGCCCTCCCTCCAGTAGGCTGTTAGGAATTGTGGGAGTTGAAGTCCAAAACACCTGAAGAGAGGGCTGAAGTTGGCCCATGCCTGATGGATCTCTTTTTGCAGAACGAGAAAGAAGAGACGCTGACCACCAATGTCTGGATCACACAGGTGAGGAGTGGGGAGTGGGGTCTGCAAAGGGTCTGTGGGGTCTCCCCTCCTTTCCCTCCACCCATCATTACTTTCCTCTTCAATATAAATTGAGGCTATGTTTTAATGGTCACCTTGTATATGTCCCCACTCCCTTGGCTCTTCTTCTGTTCATGGGTCCTAACTGGTTGACCAGGATGGTGATGCTGATGAGAGTGGTAAAGATGATGGAGATGATAGAGATGATAATTAGTTAGGATGATGACAATTATGATGTTGGTGATGATGATGGTGGTGATTAGAGTGAAGATGATGATGACCATGATGATGACAGTGATGAAGATGATTGTAATGATGATCATGAAGATAATGATTGTAATTAAGATGATGATAGTGATAAAGATGGTCGTAATGATGATTGTGATGATGATAGTAATTAAGATGATGATAGTGACGAAGATGATGGTAATGGTGATTGTGATGATGAGAGTAATTAAGATGATGGTAGTAATTAAGATGATGATAGTGAAGAAGGTGATGGTAAAGATGATCGTGATGATGATAGTAATTAAGATGATGATGATGATAGTGATGAAGATGATCACAATGATGATGAAAGTAATTAAGATGATGATAGTGATGAAGATAATAGCAATTATGATTGTGATTATGATGATGATGAAGGTGATGGTAATGATGATCGTGATGATTATAGTCATTAAGATTATGATGATGATAGTGATGATGTTGATGGTAATGATGGTGGTAATGATGGTAATGATTTCTGATGAGGGTTATGATGCTGATGACACTCATGATAATAGTGATGGTGGTGGTGATGATGAAAGTGATGGTGATGATTATGATGGTGATGGTGATGGTGATGATGATAGTAATTAAGATGAGGTGGTGATGAAGATGATGGCAAAGATGATCATGATGATAGTAATTAAGGTCATGATGATGATAGTGATGATGTTGATCGTAACGATGGTGATAATGATGGTAATGATTGGTGATGAGGGTTTTGATGCTGATGACACTGATGATGATAGTGATGATGGTAGTGGTGATGGTGGTGATGAAAGTGATGATAGTGATGTAGACGATGAAGTGATGATGGTCGTGGTGATGATGGTGATGATAGGGATGAAGATGATAGTGATGATGATGTTGGTGGTGATGATAGTGATGGTGATGATAGTGATGATGGTGGTGATGAAGGTGATGATCGAGAAGAGTAATGATGGTGGTGGTGGTGGTGATATTGATGATGATGTTGGTGTTGATGATAGTGATGGTGATGATGCTGGTGATGATAGTGATGAAGGTGATGATGGTGATGGTGATGAAGGTGATGATAGAGAAGAGCAATGATGGTGGTAGTGGTGGTGATTTGATGTTGATGTTGGTGGTGATGATGGTGGTGATGAAAGTGATGATCGTGATGAAGATGATGAAAGTGATGATGGTGGTGGTGGTGGTGATGATAGTGATGGCAATGATGGTGGTGATGATAGTGATGAAGGTGATGATAGTGATGGCAATGATGGTGGTGACAAAGGTGATGATAGAGAAGAGTAATGATGGTGGTGGTGGTGGTAATAGTGATGAAGATGATGATAGTGATGATGGTGGTGGTGTTGATAGTGTGACTCCCAATCCAGGCCTTTGGAGCTACAACCCATCATATTGGCACTCTGCACTCCCATCCCAAAATGCACCCTAAGGAAGTCCATTTGGTCAGAAGTTGGCCAGACCCACTTTTGTGCCACCTCCTTGCCTTTGTCCTCCACTGACCATCCCTTCTTCTGCTTTTTGGCCCTCCCTTCTTCTTCTTGGACCCAGCAATGGGTGGACTACCGCCTGAATTACAGCAGCGCAGACTTTGGGGGAATTGGCACCATCCGGGTCCCGGCAGAGATGGTCTGGCTGCCGGACATTGTCCTGGAGAACAAGTGAGGCCCATGGAGTGGGGGGGGAGGTGGTCATCGAGCTGAGATGAGGTTTGGAGGTGGGGTCCTTCCTTCGCCCAGAGTCCAATGGCCTTCTTGCCTGTGTCCACAGCATTGACGGCAACTTTGAGGTGGCCTACTCAGCCAACGTGCTCATCTACGAGGGGGGCTACATGTACTGGCTGCCCCCGGCCATCTACCGCAGCACCTGCTCCATCGAGGTCACCTTCTTCCCCTTCGACTGGCAGAACTGCTCCTTGGTCTTCCGGTCAGGAGGGGCCTTAATCGTGGGGGAGGGGCTATGGGTCAGGGGTCCCACCTCATTCCTCTTCCAAGGGACTTTGCTCAGGAGATGGCAATGATGAGGATTGCCCTCATTGCCCAGATTGGCCCCAGCCAAGCTTTGTGGCTTCTGACCCTCAGAAGACCCTTCCCCAATATCTATATATTTATATTTTCCCTTCCAGATCGCAAACATACAGCGCCAAGGAAGTGCAGCTGATCTTTGGCCCCGATGACGTCACAGGGGTCCCTGTGAAGGACATCATCATTGACCCAGCTGCATTCACAGGTGAACTGGGGTGGGGGGGAGGAGGTGACACTTGGGTGAGGGGTCTCTCCCTCCAAATGCTATCATGACCCTTTTGTCGCAGGGGTTAGAAAGAGTAAACATACACAACACCCCAGCTAGGTAGGCACATTCATCAATCCTCTCACGTCCTCCTCCAGCTATGCAATGGACAGACCGTCTCAAAGGCAAACAGTTCTGATCCAAAAAGAAAAACCACTGCAGAGTCTTGGTCACAGTTAGCAGAGATTTTATAGCACAACCTCTTCACCTGTGTAGTAGCTCACCACTTTAATGAGCACACTTCAGCTCTGGCTTTCATCCAAACATCTTTGGAAATGTATTCTTAAGTCATTGCTACATATTATAACTATTTACGGGTCCGCAATTAGTATGTGAAATACAAACATAATAAGACATACAAAGAGGATGGCGATGGATTAAAAATGAAGAGAGATCACAGCAAGGTATCATCGATGGCAGAGAGCCAGCACATGACTACTTTATCCAATCAAGCACTGGAATCAAGGAGATTGTGCAGCAGGTTTATTTGATCCAATCACCCTGCTGGGTGGACAATGCACAAAAGACGCAACATAACAGTCACAACAACCCTGTGTCCAGTTCTGGGCAAACAGTGCAAGAAGGATGCAAACAAACTGGACCATGCTCAGAGAAAGACCACCAAAATTGTCCAAGGTCTGGATTACATATGGGCAAACTTCACCCCTACAGGTGTTTTGGACTTCAACTCCAGGTAGGTTGTTAGGGATTGTGGAAGTTGAAGTCAAAACACCTGGAGGAAAGGCTGAAGTTGGCCCACACCTGGGATAATGAGTTGTTGGGGATTTTGGGCTGCTTGGTAATAGAGGGACACGGCCGCTCATCCCAATATTCTTGGCACCTGAACGGGGACCCAAACACGTCACAGCACTGGACTCCCCATTTCTGTTCCTCGGTGGCCAGGCCCCTTCCTCCCTTCTCTTCCTTCTTGGCCTCTGACCCTTTCCTGTTTCCCTGCAGAGAATGGGGAGTGGGCCATCCGGCACCGCCCGGCCCGCCAGCTCTTGGCCCCGGTCTCTGGGCAGGAGGCGCCCGGCTTCTCCGAGATGCACTACTTCCTCATCATCCAGCGCAAGCCCCTCTTCTACATCATCAACATCATCATCCCCTGCGTCCTCATCTCCTCCCTGGTGGTCCTGGTCTACTTCCTCCCGGCTGAGTGTGAGCCATATTGGGCAGCGGGACCCCTTCCCCTTCCTTCTCTGGAGGCTCTTCAGCAGAGGCTGGGTGGCCATCTGTTGGGAGGGCTTTGATTGTGTCTTCCTGCCTTGGTGGAATACGGGTTGTACTGGATGGCCTTTGGGGCTCTCGAACACAACATTCCAGAGAGTCTCCTGGAGTCTCCTTCTCTAGAGGTCTTTTAGCATTGTCTGGATGGCCATCTTCTGGGAGGGCTTGGGTGATGTCCTCCTGCATTGACACCATGGGGTTGGGTTGGGTGGACTTTGGAGTCTTTTCCAATTTTAGTAGAATATAAACACCGCCTGGGAGTCTCCTCCTCCTTTCAGCAGAGGCTAGATGGCCATCTGTTGGGAGGGCTTGGATGATATCTTCTTGCATTGACACCATTGGGTCGAGTTGGATGGACTTTGGGGTCTTTTCCAATTTTAGTAGAACATAGACACTGCCTGGAAGTCTCCTCCTCCTTTCAGCAGAGGCTAGATGGCCATCTTCTGGGAGGGCTTGAATGATGTCTTCCTGCATTGACACCATGGGGTCGAGTTGGATGGACTTTGGAGTCCTTTCCAAATGTAGTAGAACATAGACACTGCCTGGAAGTCTCCTCCTCCTTTCAGCAGAGGCTAGATGGCCATCTTCTGGGAGGGCTTGGATGATGTCTTCCTGCATTGACACCATGGGGTTGGGTTGAGTGGACTTTGGAGTCTTTTCCAATTTTAGTAGAACATAGACACTGCCTGGGAGTCTCCTCCTCCTTTTAGCAGAGGCTGGATGGCCATCTGTCGGGAGGGCTTTCCTGCCTACCTGTGTCCTTGATGAGGACTACAGCCTTGTGCAGGATGGAGTTGAGCTCTGCGATGCTGTGGTGGTCAGTCCACTCCCATTGACCGTCCTCTCTTTGGCAGCCGGTGGCCAGAAGTGCACGGTCAGCATCTCGGTCCTGCTGGCCCAGACCGTCTTCCTCTTCCTGATTGCCCAGCAAGTGCCCGAGACCTCCCTCAGCGTCCCCCTCATTGGGAAGTGAGTTGCCCCCCACTCTTTTAAGGGGTCTCCAAGGAAGGCCTTTGGGGAGGGGGCTTCTGGGACATAGTGTTATTACAACAGGGTGCATGTGCTCATCATAAACACTGATGGGTGTGGCCTCATGTAAGCCACACCGAGTCCCCCTTGGAGAGATAGAGCGGGGTATAAATAAAGTATTATTATTATTATTATTATTATTATTATTATTATTATTATTACACTGTGTTGTTGAAGCCTTTCAAGGTTGCTGTGAGTTTTCTGGGCTGTCTGGCCAATAAGTTCCAGCAGCATTCTCTCCTGACATTTCGCCTGCATCTGTGGCTAATCGCATCTTCGGAAGAGGGTGTCTCCAGGCAACAAAGGCCAGGCGACCTCAATGCAGAGACCCTCACTGATTGACTTTGCAGCTACATGGCTACTCAGTACTAATCAAACTGGCTAACTGCAATATTCACACTTGTGTTACACAGATCCAGGGTTCTTTTCCCCACCCTGGACATTATTCCACAGGGATATACATACATACATACATACATACATACATACATACATACAGATGTAATGTTCGTCTGTGGGATTAACATAACTCAAAAACCACTGGGCAAATTGACACCAAAATTGGACACAAGGCACCTCTCAGGCCAATGAGTGACCATCACTCATAAAAACACTGGAAAACACAGCAGAAGAGACTTTAAAAGCCAAAAAATTAAAAATACATTACAATGCATGTGCAAAACCATATATACACAAATATATACACACACATATGCACAAACAAAACACATATACACAGATTGGGCCACAGCAACGCATGGCAGGGGATAGCTAGTATATCTTCTATATAAATAAAAAATACATTACAATGCATGCACATAACCACACAAATACACAAATATATACATACACATATATACACACATATATGCACACACAAAACACATATACACAGATTGGGCCACAGCAACGCGTAACAGGGGATAGCTAGTATATCTTCTATATACTATTTGTGTGTATATAGAAGATATACTAGCAAAATACATTACAATGCATGCACATAACCACACAAATACACAAATATATACATACACCTATACACATATATACACACACAAAACACATATACACAGACTGGGCCACAGCAACGCATGGCAAGGGATAGCTAGCATATCTTCTATATAAATAAAAAAATACATTGCAAGGCATGCACATAACCACACAAATACACAAATATATACACACACGTATACACACATATATGCACACACAAAACACATATACACAGACTTGGCCACAGTAACGCATGGCAGGGGATGGCTAGTATATCTTCTATATAAATA